TTGGAAGGGAGAAAAATCCAGGTGTGGATTGATCACAAAAACCTCAAGGCGCTAAAACCCCCAAGAAAGTTATCCCCAAAGCAAGCTCGGTGGTCCCAACATTTCCTGGGGGGGGACTATTTAGCCGATGCTCTGTCAAGGATGCTGCAGTACAATAAAGTAAAATCTGACATGATCAAACCCTTGATGACCCTGAAACAATTAGTGGCCCCTGTCACCACGAGAGCTCAGGCAAAGAACCCGATGCCAGCGGACAGTAAAATGGAGGCCCCGACCACCACAAAGGAAAAGCCCAAAGAAACCCTCTTTTGACAGCAAAGCAGGAACTGAGTTTAGACAAGCGTTAGAAAAGGACAAATGGTTCCTTAGCCATAAAAACCTTTGGTTGATGAGGGACGAGTTGCCCTGGATCGGAGAAAAATTATACATGCCAAAAACCCAGAGAGTAAAATTCATGCAGCTTTGCCATGACTTGAAAGTGGCTGTGCACTTCGGGTTCGTGAAAACCCTCCATCTGACTAAGAGACCATTCTGGTGGCCTTCTATAAAAAAGGACACTGAAAGCTATGTGGCTAGCTGCCCTGTCTGTGCAGCAACAAAGCAGAGACAGGGAAAAACGCCAGGATTATTACAATCAGTCCTTCAGCACCCTGGAGAGAGATTTCTATGGATTTTATAGTAGAGCTGCCAGAAAGTGCGGGAAACACTGTCATTTGGGTAGTAACAGATTTATTCTCCAAACAAGTCCATTTCATACCCTGCTAGAAAATTCCTGTTCATACAGCATATTTACCGACTGCATAGGGCCCCACAATGCATTATTTCAGATAGGAAAATAATAGGATCCAATTCACTTCAGAGTTCTGGAAAGCCTTTTTGGATTTGCTTGGTATCAGTCAGGGCCTGTCATCTAGTCATCGTCTGCAAACGAATGGTGGGACAGAACGTTCAAACTCAGTACTAGAACAATACCTGAGATGCTTCATAAATTACCAACAAGACAATTGGACTGAGCTATTATCCTTCGCGGAAGTGGCTTACAACAACACAGTGCATTCAAGTACTGGTTACACCCCATTCCAGGTGGAGACAGGATAAAGCTTCAATCAATGCCTGAGTTATCTGTCAATGAACCCACCATCCCTTCCCTAAAGGAGTGGATTAAACAACTACAAAACACTTGGCCTGTGGTTAGAAAAGCTTTGGATGAGGTGAGAGAGGCTTATAAGGCAAGGCAGATAAAAAACAAATGGATCCGAAACCATTCAGAGTGGGGGGGAAAGTATATCTCTCAACCAAGTTCCCAAAATCTTTGCAGCCCTCGAAAAAGCTGGGCCCAAAGCTGGGCATGCCTCCTCTATCTGTTTTCATGTACCCTCTTCGGGGTGTGAATTGAATGCCTCGGGGCCATCTGCCTTATCTCGGTGTGGAGGGAGGAAACTGCAAAGACCTGAGAACCTTCAGAGAGGCACCTTATCGGCTCATTTCCCACAGCTCATTGTCACCTATGGATTGGCCTGTTTGAACCAACTGGATGGACAGTTGGGGTGGGGTTTCTATTTCACGTTTTTACCTATTGATTTGGGCAGGAAACCCTCAGATCCTGCCTAGATTTCATGCTATCTGTACCTGCCAATAAAATTCTTTTTGAAATGATGCAAGTTTCAAGAGTTCTGCTTTCTTGGTAGGGAAACGGAGGCAGGTCCATTCAAAACCTTTGAATGGGTAAGGTTTTATTGTAGTCATTGTGTGACTTCCTTCTTTGCTTTGGAAAATATTTTTTGGATTAAACAGCAAAAGGATGCTTAGAATATGAATTTGGGAAAGCTAATAATAGATTAAGGGTCCAGATGGACCTGGGTTTTGAATTAATTAGAATAATATTTCCCAGGAAAATGGCAATTGTTTTTTAAAGAAGAAATATAATAATGGGATCTTGAAGATTTGACACTAGAGGGAACTAGAGGATAATTAATTAGTTTTGTTAACAACAACAAAGAACAGAGCAAAAAAAACCCTTAGTGGGTGTTTTTGAATATTAATCTTCAAAATTACTTGACCACTAATGGATGAAATAACAACCTCAGGAAATTAATCAGCTCTTCTGGAGTGCCAAACCAAGGGTCCTTAAGACAACAGCTTTAACTCTTTGTCACTTGGAAATCACCACATGCTGGAAAAGTAGATGTTGCTCTGAATGAAGCTAGCAGAATTATTACCAGTTCAACTGGCATTGTCCCACTTGCTGTTCGCAGAGCAGCAGCAGCATATAGAGAGGGGCATAAATAATCAATATTTAGACCACACACTCTCAATAGTTTACAACCAATTCATCAGAGATTAAAATCTAGGAAAAGTTTCCTTAGGTCGATGGAATATTTCAAAGAATTTGAATACAGAATGGATGTATGGAAAGCTACAACCCTGGATAGAACCAATAAAGGAGCTGACATCTGGGTCTGACAAAAGCTGGGAAGTACGGAAATTGTTGAAGAGACTGTGCACAGATAACAAGATCCAAAAACACTCTGAACAAATGTGGCTATCCAGTGGCTTTTGTTCTTTGTGATTGTGGTGACATACAGAAAACAACATATATGTATACCTACCCTTTGTGTCCTGATCAGTGTACACTCAAGGACCTCATGGCAGTCGGACAGAATGCAATTAATGTTGCTAATTTCTGGGCAAGATCTGTTTAACATGTACATAATTTAATCATATTTTATATTTTAACTTTTATGTTGTGTAGTATGCCTTATTTTTATTGTGATGCTTCTGATACAAATAAACAAACCACTAAATCAAACTGGCTCTATTTTATAATATAAATATTTTATGATATAAATTTGGATAACCTCCTTTCTGAATTTACTAAAGAGATCTGTTAAAGTCTTGGAGGAATTTATGAGAAGTGAAAAAAGGGTTTATATTAGTTTTTAATCTAGTTCCTCTGGGATGCTGTGTAGTTGAACCATCACCATCTCAATCATCTTCCCCAAAAAAAGATCGGAGACCAGATGATAAATCCAGGACCACAGCCTCTTCAGCAAGGAGTACACTGTGGTTTGATGTAATGATTTAGATTTAAACACAGGGAAGTGATCTGAATTTGTGAGCAAATTGCTGTTAGATGATTTTTCAGCTAGGTTGTTCTGAATCATGGGGATATTTTCATGGGAAAATATTGCCAGGGTTTTCTACTTCAGAATTTATTAAATTAAAGAAAACGTAGAAATAAGAGTTCATTAAAATATCCTCAAGCCATCTTTGATTACCCAACTACGTCATGGTAGAAAAATAGCCAGTTTTGTAAAATTTATGTCAATTGTTGTCAAAAGACAGAAATTATTGCTGCTGCTAGACATATATGATAAAAATATGCTACATAATGTTTTGTTTTTAGGGAGCAGGAAACTATGCCCTGCCATCTTAGACCTCTCTGACTTTGTCTTTTGTCTTACTCTTTGTGAACAATTTATATTGTTGTGTATAATTACCATCCATTAAATAATCTCTTTTGTATTATGTATCTGAAAAAATCCCTTGATACCTGAAGCAGTAAAAGAGGAAGCAAAGAAGATCTGAAAAATACATAAACATCTTTTGAAAATTTAATCTGTTAATTATACATCTAAATTTTAATTATATATTCAATATATTTGGTTCACTTCTATTTTAATGCATATTCTTGCATTATGCTATAGACTCATGTCTCCATCCTATGCTAGCAACAAAGGATTAATTCTAGCGTTATTATAAGCCATTCTTTGACAAACTACCACATAAAGAAACCATTGCGGTTTCCTGTTAAACACATCAGTACTTTCACAAGGTTTTGCTAGCAAGCCAATGGTAGATAATATGTAAGTCACCCAGAACTGTGAGAGGGGCAGCAATAAATTTAATAAGAAAACAAACAAACTAGAAACCTCATTAAATATTGGTAATGCCTGTAAAATCAGATTTAACACCCCTTCCCATGTTTCATATGTAGATTGACTGTGGTTTTCTTTATGTTTTTGTATACTGGGTTTTTATAAAATGAAATAGTCTTCCAGTAAGTGGATCTCCATCCTCCAAAAATTTAAGAATTGCAACCACTATCAATCTATATGACTGGCAAGAATCAACACGGGATTAGGATGTGTAATATATAAATGTCTTTTGCACTGAACATTGGTGTTTTCTAGGAAAAATGGAATATGTGCTGTCTACTTATGAGAAACTATTTAAAAGCATGACATCATTGACCTACAGATTTTTCCATGCAATTCTAAATCTTGGTCCTACTCAAAAATCAATAACTATTGCTGCCAATGCTTATCTTGTTGACTATTATTCTAGACAATTTGTGCCTGGATCAATATAATAAGCATAAGGCGCAGTATCTGGTGGGGCAGATATTGGAAGCAAATTCCAAAATGGAGTTTTGGCAGAATCAGTTCAAATTACAACTGTTTTATTTAATGATGTAACTTTAAGAAATGTTTAAATCAACCTAATCACCTCCTTGCAAAGGATTTAGACAGAAAAGCCTATAAAATTCCTACAAATATTTAAATATTAGATATATATATATATATATATGCATATTTTCCATAAAAGCTCATCGGGTTAACTTTTGGCTAATAATTCTCTCTCAATCTAAGCTAATTCAAAGAGAAGTTATTTTGCGGAAAAATAAGAAGGAGCCTGGTAGGTGCTGTCTTGGGCCATGAATGAAAGGTGGGATGTAAAACCTTCTTATTCTTATTCTGGTTTGTTGCATAGTCAGCCAGATGTTTAGACTGGCTTTGGCATTGTCAGGTCCCCAAAGAAATGTATTTTAACCCTATGCCTATTTTCTACTTTTCTGTAACCTTTCTTTGTGGCCTGCCATTCTGTTGGGAGGGGGGGAGCCCTTGGGAATGCTTTGCACTGTCTGCAGGATGCCCTTCCCCCAGAGGATGGAATCTGTCTCCCTTATCTGAGAGATGGTTTGCGCTTGGAGCCAGAAGAAATCGAAAGTGAGAAAGACCTTGAGGAGCCCACCGAAAAGACCAGCTACCAAAACACCATGCCACCTGTGGATTGGCTGGGATTCAAATAAACACTCTGGGGGGGGGAGTATTGAATGTTGCTTTTAATATACTGCTTCGTGGGTTTTTCTCTCAGACCTCGACTTAATTCCCTGCTGTCACTAGCCCCTAATAAAAGTTCCTTTTGAGACAATGCCTGTTTCAAGAGTTCTGCTTTCTTGGGTGGCTTAGCTAAGATAGGTCCTTACAGGCATTTTTGTCCACCTACTGAGTCCTTCCCAAGGACTTGGATAGGCAGATATGGATATTTAATGGTTTTAAAAGTATTGTCACAGGATGCAAGCTATTTCAAGCAAAGCTGTCTTTTGCAATTGACTGATGGTAATTTTGTTAATGCCTATGATGTTCAAATGGTGCTCTAGTTATTTTGGGATTGCACCCAAGGCACCTACTACTATCAGTACTACCTTTGCTTTCTTTTACTACTGCTGTCCTATTTCTATTTGCAGGTTTTTGTATTTTGTTATCTTCTCCAGTTGTTTCTTTTCTATTCTGCTATCTCCAGATCCTGCCACATCCGCTATCCAGACTTTTTTGTCTTTTTTATCGACAGTTGCTATGTCTGGGGTGTTATGTGACAGGTGCCTGTCTATTTGAATTCTAAAATCTCAGAGCACTTTAGCTTCTTCATTGTTGCTACTTTGTTATGCCGCTGTTCATATTCAGTCTGTGTGATCTTATTCCAGCAGCTAATCAGGTGATCCACTGTTTCTTCAGCTTCTTTGCAGTGGTGGCACTTGCTACTTGTTGATGTCTTCTTAATTCAGGATTTGTATGCATTTGTTTTTATATCTTGGTCTTGTGCATTCACTTATTTTCCTTGGTAAGCAGAGTCTGTCAACCTCACTGCATGGATGAAGGGCATAATTCATTGTCATTATTTTTCTCTTCCTATCCAGGGCTTTTAGTTCTGCTTGAGTCCAGTCATTATTTCAGCTATGTATCTAATGACTGGAATTGCCCAGGAATTAATTGCCTTGATGGTATTGCCTCCATTGAGTTTGGATTTTAAGATCTTCTCTCTCTTGATGTATTCATTTCTAATCTTGTTCTTGACTTGAGTGTGTTTGATGTTATCAGCTATTGAAGGATGCCCATGTATTTGTAGTGATTGTCTTCATCCAGACTCTTGATGTTATTTTTATAGGTCATCTTGTTTCATTCAGTTTAACTATTTTTCCCCATTTGATGGTGAGTGTGGCACATTTGTTCACTTCAAACACAATATCTTGGCTGTATACATGGACAGTGTTGAGGAGGAAACTACAGCCCAATCAGCCTGATATCAATACTTGGGAAGATCCTGGAAAAGATAATCAAGCATCAGATCTGTGAATACCTAACAGAATAGAATAACAGAATAATAGAGTTGGAAGGGACCCCCTGCTCAGACAAATAGGTGTCCAATCTCTTCTTAAAAACTTCCAGTGTTGGAGCATCCACAGCTTCTGGAGGCAAGTTGTTCCACTGATTAATTGTTCTAACTGTCAGGAAATTTCTCCTTAGTTCTAGGTTGCTTCCCTCCTTGACTAGTTTCCATCCATTGCTTTTTGTCCTGCCTTCAGATGCTTTGGAGAATAGGTTGACTCTCTCTTTTTTTCTTTTCATTAAACTAGACATACCCAATTCCTGTAACCATTCTTTATATGTTTAACTTCCAGTCCCCTGATCATCTTTGTTGCTCTTCTTTTACTCTTTCTAGAAGAAAAGTTATAATCAAAAGCCAACATGGGTTTGTCAAAAACAGATCATGCCAAACAAATCTTATTTCATTCTTGGCAAAGTGACTAAATTAGTGGACAAGCAAACTGCTGTGGTCATAGTATAGTTGGCTTTCAGTAAGGCATTTGATAAAGTAGACCACAACATACTTCTTGGTATGCAATAACAGATCTGTAATAATATATTATTATTTATTTATTTTCAATCACTGTATATTTGCAATGAGTAAATAACTCTCTTTCCAGTACTTCTGTAGCCACTGGCCCTAGTTGCTCAGCTACCAGTCCTGAGCCTTATAGCCCATTTTTCACCAGATGTCCAGGAACTCTAACATCTAGCACAGTCCTTGCTGACCTGTTTGATGATTGAGCAAGTATGGGTTTCTGTAATTTATGTCTCACCATATTATTTATGGGAGAGACACTCTTTGTTTAATTTCTCCGATGAGAACTGTCCATTATGGCTGAACTTCTGGCATAGCTCTCATCTTCTTCAGATTACACAAGCCCCATAACCACATCAAGGTAGTGCCTCAGGGAGTTTCTGATGCTTATTGCAAGACTTCATTTCATTTTAAGCTACAAAGATTTTTTTGGTTTTGGCTTATATATTGTATGAATGCAGGCACTGCCACTTATAGACATTCTTAGTACAGTATATGAATTCAACTCACTATACCTTTGTTCAACAAATCATAATGAAAACAAATGATGTGTTCATTCGATATTGAAATTCGGCCAGTGAATGCATATACAAACACACAATATGCTGGGGAATGTTTCTACCTATGAAATACATGTTTGAATCTAAATATGTTATGTTTCCTTTAGATAATAGATAGTTAAATAATCCCATTGGATCATTTTCCATGTTTTATTTTGTAGAGTCTCAAAGTTTATTTAACTTTTAAATCATAGGTCCTGAAGTTATCATTATTTCATATTATATGGAACAATTGTAAAGCAGATAGCAAAAAGATATAGATTACAGAGTTGTAAATGGTAGACTAGCTTTTCTGTAGGTAGTGCTTTTCAAGCATGTTTAATCATAGTAATCATATTGGTTTGGTTAATGGCTGTAGGACTGCAGTAGTAATACTTTAGTAGTAATACTTTAATATAGACAGCACCCATTTGGAAAAGGTTGGTCTACTGTAACCCTAGTGTTCTGAACTAGGATCAACTTTTGACTTAAACACTCATACACATAAACCAAGACAGATGTTTGAGGAAACAAAGCTCAATTGTATTAAGTATAACCTTAGTTGTTTGTCATAGCCAATAATAAGTTAAATGAGAAAACAGCAAAGATTTTGAAATTTGGTAGAAAAAGATAGAATGTGGAAGAAGTCTAAAATATTAGTGTAGGATTTACAAAAGATGAAATCACATGTGGCCTGTGAAGCAAATTGTAGGAAATCTAGTTTAAAATGCTTCACAATGCTTTGGTTAAATTAGATTGATTCTAGATTTTAACCAGGAGCTATTCCACACTGTAGTTTAAGGTGTTTCTCTCTGATATTCTCCTGGCTGTTTTTAAGCCAGCTTCAGAAAGTCCAGTCCATATTGTAGTAGACTGACAATAGAACTGGGCTGGGCTCATTTTGGATTATAGTTACTACAAGACCTGATTCTTGTGCCCCTGCTTTTTGCAGCTTTTGTGCAGGCTAATCTACCCATATTTCCTTTTTCCTATTTCCTTTCACAAACTTCAGGAAATAAAAAGCAACAATCTATGATGTGCTTGCTCAAGCACTTCTTAGCATCCTATCCCCTTTCCTGCAATGTAAAGCTGTTTCTAAAATCCAAAGATATAAACTCTTGGATGTGTATAATTAGTTTGCAAATCCTTTCTTTTATTAGAATTAAACAGGAGCATTAATTATGTTGACAATCTCACAAGCTGTTATTGCTTCTTAGCTTTAGACCATCTGGGCCAAGTAGACATTCTAGGCCACAATATTCCCTATCTTCATTCTTCAGTGGTCTTCCCAAATTCAGGAATGCTTCCGTGGTCTTATCCTGGATCACTTTAGAAGGAGCAACTCTTTAAGAGCTAAAGGTGTCTAACATCCATTCTGGTTCACCAGCTATTCAAATTTAACACCAAGCAACCTTCCTGCCAGCACATTAGCTCCATTTATGCATCCTTTCTCCCCATGAAAGCTTTTGTGCAAGTACAATTATTTATCTCTTTAACTGAACATTTTTCCTAGGTCAAAATAACATGGGCCAATTTTGTGCCCTCAGAATGATAAAAATATAACATAATTTCCAGTCTAATCTGAAAGATAATCTCTTGCCCTCAGAAGTACCTATGTAAGCCACTGGATTCTTGTAAAATTAAACGAGTGTCCTCCTCTCAGATAGGTCATTGTTAATTGATGTTCAATTCTACACACACACACACACACACACACACACACACACACACCATCTTAGATATTCAGGATATGCTGAATTATCTTTTCATTAGTCTCCCAACAGTGATTCAGCACAACCATTCTTAAATTTGGGGTAAATGCTTTGGACAGATTTATTCTTGCTTCCTGAGATGAACCAAAGGTTTCATCTGCTATTCTCTTACTGTCCTCAGAAGCCACTGTCGGATGGAACAGATTCATCCATATGCAGCACTGTGGATTACAAGCCTCCAGATCCTTTGGAGGACAAAGCAGAAGTTGAAGAAAATGTGGAGAATGATGATCCAGAGGAATGCTTCACTGAAGGTATCATGGTCAGAAAACAAGCTCTACTCATCAAATTTGCAGATGACACCTAGGTTTTTTTTTTTGGGGGGGGGGGGGAAATAGCTAATACTTTTTTAAAAATATATTTTATTATTTTTTTATAATAATCTTTAGTGCTTAGTGAACAATATGTTGTCGGGGTTCATATATTTAAAAACAATAATAATTATTTTCTATAGTTGATCAATATGTTAGTTGATAATATATTTCCTTGATCCTCTCTTCTTCCAGCAATATTCTCCTTTTGTCTACATTAAAGAAATATAATTCTTAATATTTTCAATACATATAAAGTTGGGTATAAACATTTTTCTAGTATTTATACATATAACAATAACATCAACATATAACATCTTTTCTAATCAGCTTATGTTTCAATTGTCTTTATAGAAGTCATCTTAAGTTATTATATGTCCTGTTTTCAAGATTCTTATTTAAGCTTTATTTCCCCTCAGTACTGAAACCACTCTTATCAGTCAAAATTTTCTCAAAATTCATTACCTTTGAATATCCAAACGTTTCATTCAAATACACCATCTCAATATTTTTACATTTCATATATTATAAAAATATTATACTGCTTATATATCTTATCCCTCTTACTATAGGGCCCCTTTTTGCCCAAGCTTTATCTATTCTTTTGACCATGTTCAAACAAGTATTTAATCATATAATACACCATCTAGCAATCTTACTATAGGGCCTCTTTATATCCAAACTTTATATTTTTTTAATCGTACTCAAACAGGTGTTTAGTCATATAGTATTCCATCTGGTACGTTGAATCACATCTCTTAAATCTAATTCTAGTCTTCTTCTTTTGCCAGGTTGCTTTCCAAATCAGTAGGTTTAGCTTGCCAGGTTGTATTTTTGTAGATATTGTTGGGGATAAAAAAGACAAATTGAGTATTCATTTTTTGTCTCCCACGCTTTAATGATTCTCCTGACAACTCTTTAGTCCATTTTATTAAATCTTCTTTTTTTGTTCTAAGTTTGTTTTGAAGTCCTGGTAGATAAAACATCTTTTTATTTCCTTTATTGTAGCAAAAGTTTGTGGATTTTCTTTTGTTTGTATTAACTTGTAGTTCTCTTCATTTATAGCTTTCATATTTAAATCATTTTCCTTTGATTTGTTTTCTATTGTCTGACTTATTTGTTCATTCTTTATCGTCATTTTTTGAGCATTTTTTAATTGTGAGTTTAGGTTAGAGATATGTTCATTTATGTTATCAAAGTTGTTTGTAATCTCATCATGATTTAAGACAATTGTCGTTTGAATCTGTCACAGCATTGCATATATTCCAGCATTCTCCTGGAATGTATTTGCTTTGTCTTGAGTCATTATTCCTGCAGATCTCTGATGTCCCACACTAGGATCTTCAGGAGGATGTGTTATGTGTGGTTTTCTGTCACTTTTAGATAAATATATATAACATCCATTTTATCTCCCTCCTCTAGGTAGTCTTTCAACGGTGCCATAGTCTCTTTAATTAGCATTATCAAACCAGCCCATCTTAAAATCCAAACAACCAAATCTTGTGTAGTTCTTATCTTTATATATAGTTTTTGTAATCCAATGAATTCCAATTATCAAAACAACACTGAAAACAGTGTTTTGTAACAGTTCTTTTTTCAGGGATCTTATGATTATCAGCTAGCCAAGATTTCAGTCCAAAGTGTTTAACCACCTGAAAACTTTCCAGTGACTTTTCCTTTAGAAGATTAGCCAAAGGCCAAAGTTTTTCTTTCTCTGCAAACATTTCTTAAACTTAAAAATACAGCTCAATGTGTTTATAATCCCAGAAGGTCAACAGTTTCTAAACATATATAGTTTCACTCTGTATTAGATAGCCCAATGCTTTGTTCCCAGCTGGTTTTTGCTATTTCTGGGCATCTTGCTAAATTCTGAGTCAATGCAGCTATAATTTTCTCTAGTCCTCCACTAGGTGTCAGTAGCTGTTCATTTCCCAACTTTTAAAGCAAAGAGTTTTCTCAGTTTTCAAATTTGTCCAGACTGTAGTATTTTAAACCTCATTTCAATATATTTTTGTTCCCCATAAGAGTTTATTTCTCCTCTTCCGTCTATAGGAGGGTGGGGGTGTAGTTCCCTCTCTTCTCACTTTGGGAGGATTTTTGCTTCTTGGGGATCTTTTCCAGGAAATCAGATACAAAATAGGAGAGAGAAGATTGAATTCCTCACCCAGTTTCAAGCACACTGTTCACCGTTGTTCTGGTTGGTGACTTTGGACTTTGGCTGCAAGTAGCTTGGGCTGGTCACCGAGGTGTGGCCAGCCTTTCTCCTGTTGGGTTAGAGGGCTTCCCTCAGATTGAGCAGGATGACTGCCATTGTTCCGCGATCATCGGGGTGCCCCTCTTTCTTTGTCACCTCTCCGGGATGACTTTAGACCCATTTAGAGTCCCCTGGCAGGGCGAAATTAGCCATGGGATGTGGAGCTCTGCAATCCCTCAACTGCACTATGGCACAAAACTGGAAGTTCATCAAGAAATAGCTAATACTTTAGATAATAGACTCAAGATTCAAAAAGGACCATGATAGACTTGAACACTGGACCTTATTCAACAAAATACAATTGAGTAATGAGAAAAGTAAGGACCTAGACTTAGGCAAGAAAAACCAAATTCATAGATATAGAATAAGTGGTACCTGGCTTAATAGTAGCAGTTGTGAGAGATGACTAGGTGTCCTGGTAGACCACTATTTTTATGAGCCAACAGTGTGCTGCAACTGCCACAAAAACAAATGCAGTTTTAGGTTGCATCAACAGAGGAATAGTTTCAAGATCACATGAAGTGGTAGTCTGCTTTATGCTGCACTGGTGAGACCACACTGTAAATACTTTGTCCAGTTCAGTTCACCATGATACAAAAAAGATGTTGAGATCTTAGAAAGAGTGCAGAGAAGAGCAACAAAGATAATAAGTGATCTGGAGGCTAAATCATATGATGAATGATCAAGGAACTAGGTACCTCTAGTTTAATGAAGAAAGGTACTAGGGATGATATGATAGCAATCTTCCAGTAATTGAGAAGCTGTCACAGAGAAGAAAAAGAGTCAACTTATTCTCCAAAGCATAAGGGCAGGACAAGAAGCAATAGATGGGAGATTATTAGAGATCCAACCTAGAACTAAGGAAAAATTTCCTTCAAGGTCACGTCCAACCCTATTATTCTGATTTATTTATTTATTTGTTTATTTGTTTAATTTATATTAAATTTGTTTGTCACCCATCTTGCAGCAAGGCAACTCTATCTTCTATGCTTTTCAAGTATTCTCTTCCAGTGCATGTGAAAAAGAGTGCTCCAACATGTACATAATGCTAATTATGTATGGATTATTATTGCATAATTTTATTAATTTATGTATAAATACATAATTAATGCATAACTAATTAATCAATTGTGTATTAAGGATAATTACTATGATCCTTCTCATCTTTTCTACTATCTTCTCCAATTGGTATGTTAGGATTATATTACTTTGTTGTTTGTCTGTGCACTACTGTAAGTGTTTCTGCATCGGAGAGAAATTCCATGTGTGTCCAATTACACTTGGCCAATAAAGTATTCCATTCCATTCCTGTCAGGATTAGGGAGTCCCAAATTGTGTGATCAGCATTAAAAGCATATGAGAAAATAACAAAATGTCTATGTAATTTGCAGTGAATGAACATTCCAAATACACGGCATAGATTTAAAACAAGTTAGAGCACCTCCAGTGTTAATTGACTCTTTCTTCCGTTGCAGCCTGTGTTCAAAGGTGTCCTTGCCTGTACGTTGATATCAAAACAGAAAAGGGAGCAAAGTGGTGGAATCTTCGGAGAACATGTTTCAAAATTGTGGAGCACAATTGGTTTGAGACTTTCATTATCTTTATGATTCTCCTCAGTAGTGGTGCCCTGGTGAGTGTTTCTCTTTTGCAGTGAGTTTTTCCCCTACAATAATACAAGTTAGAATGAGAGTGATTTTAAATTGCTCTAATAATAAGGTTTTTCTTTAAGAATATAGGCTCCTTGATGAGTGTAGCACCAGGTAACTGCAAATAATATCCAACAAGGTTTACCTTGTTGATGATTTAGATTTCTTATAGGAATAAAATATTATGGTTAGCTAAGTGGCTAATAAAGCAGTTGGCTAGAATTTTATCAGCCCAACCAGTAACATTTTAAGAAATCAAGAAGGGATAACATCAGGACTTCAAATGATAATTTTCAAGTTCCTTGTGGCTATTTGCAACAAGCATCTGTTCACCTCTGGATCAGCTGTAGCACAGTGTGGAGTCAAAATCTAATAGGCATGATAGATCTCTGGATGCAGAAAAAACTATTTATCTGAGGAGCAATTGTTCCTCAGTCCATAAACAAATTATTTCAAGTTCACTAAAATGATCATTTAGTTTTATAATTTGCTAAATTATCTTTAAGTGGTAGAATATGTTTTATGAGAAATAGGAAGTAAACAAGTTGTTAAATGGCAAGTAGAAAAAGTTACATATAGGTTCTTAAAATATTTTTATATAGTTCTTATGCTCATTTAATATAGTGCTCATTTAAATTTTACAAGCCTATAAACATGTGTTAATTAAAAGAGTAATAAGAAGATATATCAAAGCAAGAATAAACTCACATGTCTAATATCATTATACAAGAGAAAAACAATGTTTTTTTAAAATAGAAAAATAGCACTCAGCACTTGTGCTAAACTTCTATTCTTTCAAAATAAAGATGTACATAAAAAAAACTCAAGGTGATGATATGGTTAAGGTATCATCTAGATCAAAATTTGATGTTAGGCTTATAATACTGTTGTTTTTTGCTGAAACCCTGAAATCCTACTACTAGTAACCTAAATAATGGTGTAGGAAAGTGAACATAACATCGTGGAGCAACAAGTCTCTGAGCACAGGCTTAGCAGAGATGAACTGAATGTATCCCCATGTTCTTCCTTCTGTCATCTAGAAACATTCCATCTTGGTTTCTACTCATTCACTTTAGAAGCATTCATTGCAGACTTAAGTATTAGACTTTGAATATGGGATTCCCAGGAATTTTCTACGTATTTCCATACCTATCTTTACAATGTCCAAATTGTTGTGTATAGTATAACCCCTGTTCAGTAATACAAAGGTATGCCCAGAAAGGTAAAGGCCACTCATGCTGTGGCTGCTTTTGCTACTTTTATGTATTGTCAAGAGGTCTCATATACTGCTCTGCTTTAATTCCCCTTTCAGGCTTTTGAAGACATCTATATAGAACGCCGACATGTAATTCGCACCATCTTGGAGTATGCTGATAAGATCTTCACATATGTTTTCATTCTTGAGATGCTGCTCAAATGGGTAGCATATGGGTTCAAGGTCTATTTCACCAATGCTTGGTGCTGGCTGGACTTCCTTATTGTTGATGTAAGTGTCAGTTTTCTGTAAGTGAGCATTCTGGGAAAGATTGCCAAAGATTCCTTTGATCTTGCATTAAATCTGATTAATCATGTGATTCTGTTAGCTTCCATTTCAAATTCTAGCCCCCTTGATTCCTTCTGATCAGTACTTAAGGCCACTTGACATGTATTCAGGAATCAAATTCTTTCCCCATAGCTGAATCAAAATGCTATTGACCCACCACTAAGTTGGCAGAAAACTATGCTACCATGTAATTTGATGTTCCTATTGTTGATCCCTATATTCCCTCTATTTAATCTGCTCTGAATGGCTGCTGAATTATGTTATCTTGTTTATGATTTTCAGTGTATAATCAGCCAGTCACTTATTTAATTCTATTGGCTTTGCCACCTTCTTTAGGATCTTACCAGCTGGCAGGAAATCTTCCATTAATCTTTGGACTGCAGCAGAGATGGACTGGATCTGATTGCAGGACACCATCTGTAGAACAGACTAACCAGTAGAATGCTAAAAAATATATATAGTTTCTTCTGCTTTTGCATAGAACTGAAAAATTTTGGTTCAATACTGCTTTTCTCCCCAGCTGTTAAGGGAGGCAACAGAAAAATTGCAGACATAGCTAACCTGGAAGGGAAGCAATGTGTATGGATGAATCTAAGTTAGCCAGTAATCATCCTTCTGAAAGAAACTACTCCTGATCACTGACTCTCCATCCATTAGTGTAATGGATGGCAAACTGTATATGTACACAGTCTTGTGTGACTGGATGTTGTCTGCTTAAAGAGGTACAATATTTTAACACTGGTACAGCTAAGGATAACTGTCTCACTCATGGGCTGGGCACAAGATGAAAGCAACATTATAGAGAAATGGTAGAAAATATATTGCCAATATATGTTTGAATCATGCTTATATTCAAGCAGAAAAAAGCTCAGGGGATATAGGAAATCTGACCTAGATGCCTCCAGTGTGCAAGATATGGAACTATTCCTTTTTCTGTAATTTTTTTCATTTGTTACTACTAACCATTTCATTTTTCTTTTTAACCAGGTCTCCCTAATTAGCCTAACAGCAAACTGGCTAGGCTATTCAGAGCTGGGAGCTATCAAATCCCTGAGGACACTCCGAGCATTGAGACCGCTTCGGGCATTATCCAGATTTGAAGGCATGAGAGTAAGTGTGGTATGACAGTCCATGATTTTATTTCTCCAATTTCCTTCCATGCAGTGGGAATTTTCGAGGGTCAGAATATAATTCCTATAGAAAATAGCAGTAAAGCTCAAGCCTGTTTTTAAAGAATTTACAGTATAGTTACTATTTTTTTTTCCATTGTATTTACATTTTGCTTTCTTTGAATGAAGTTACTATAATAAACTTGGGATAGTTCCATTTTGTCCTGAGAGATGATTACAAGCCCAAGACTATTCTAAATGTTATAAATAGATGGAGATAAAAGTTGGAGCTATTTCCTCCAGGGAATGATGATGACGATGAAGATGATGATGATGCCCAATTCTCAATAATTCTAAACAGCTCACAACATTAAACCAAGAAGTTCAAAAAAAAACACCCAAAAGAAAAATAAAGAAAAAACCATGGCAAGTGGCCAGGGTGAAGAGTGACGTTTGTCCCTTCCCTTGCCTTTACTTTCCAGAGAACAAGGAAGGGTCCCTCCTGAAACGCTTCCTCCACCCTTATTCCTTCTGTGGCTAATGTAATTCTTCTCTGCCCGTTGCCCTGGCTGCATCTCTTCCTCCTGTCTCCCATTCTCATAGCCCATTACACCCCCAGATCCTTAAGAATTTCACTTGTTTTTTTTTAAATTATTATAACATTATTTTTAAATTGTATTATAAAAGATTATGCAATTATTTATTTATTATGATATGATGTTTTAGGAATCATTCCCCTTGATTATTGTTTTACATAAATGTATAGACTACTGGTATCTTTGAATTATCTAGAACAAGTGAATTCGCAGATTGCCAATAAGTGTGAAATATCTATAGACAAGTTAATGTTCTATCTTACTGCCTTTTCTGCACTAGTATAAATTTAACTTGAATTCTGTTCTCTAATATGTCTGTAGATATAACCCAAAAACAACATTTTAAAAGGGCCGTATTCTGAATTTGTAAAATATTGAAATTGATTTACTTTTATTAAATCCTGAGTAGATTCTTTCTCTTGATACTAGGTGGTTGTAAATGCTCTTTTGGGGGCCATCCCCTCCATCATGAATGTCCTCTTGGTATGCCTGATCTTCTGGCTCATCTTCAGCATTATGGGGGTGAACCTCTTTGCAGGGAAGTACTATCGCTGTGTCAATACCACCACAGGTGACCTCTTTGAAATCCAACATGTAAACAACAAAAGTGACTGCATCGATCTTATCAATGTTGAAAATGCCACTGATGTCCGTTGGGTCAATGTCAAGGTCAATTTTGACAATGTGGGCTTAGGCTATCTCTCCCTTTTGCAAGTGGTAAGTAAGCATGCTTTTCCTTAGGAAATGTTCTATTTTGCCTGGAACCTGACTTTCTTATATAGAGGTGCATATGAGAACCTGCCAACTAAAGATCTAGTTAAAACTACCTTCCTCAGCTGGTCCTTTGACCTATTCAATCCTAGCCAATAAGTTGATTTCTTCCTGGAAGAAATAGCTTTGAATCCAAATTATTGTGACCAGTTTTTAGTCCAGTCCAGTGTTTCAAACGTCTGAACCTAAGAGAGGCACTCTAGAGAATAAAAAGGAAGTTGACTTGGATATGTAGAGAGAGGGAACCAAAACCTCTTATTGTTGCAATGACGGCATCCATTTTAGTAGATTTTTCTTAATATATCAAATTTCTAATGTCTCTTTTTTCCCATACTAACATTAAAAGATTTCTTTAATTAACCCTACTCAATTCTTGTTTTGGGAGTGGGTTTGAAAGAAAAATCACCTTTGTCTGAGATAGTTTTTGTAAGTTTTGATATGTTTTGTATGTTTTGATATGCTGTATTCTTAGTCAGCCCTGGCATTCCAAATTAATAGTGTCCCTACTAACATTCAGCTTGACTGATCTGATGAGAATGCCTTATTTTTGTCAGCAGACTGGTCTGTAGAACTATCTAGGACACTCACCAACTGTTTGCTATGATCAGTGTGAGGATGCTTTGAGATTAATTTTGGTGATGTCTGTGGCTGTCTCTCCCTAGTTTGTAATTTTTTCTATTAATTTCCTATGTTTTCTCCTGATTTAAACTAATTTCCCCTGATTTCCCCTGAACCAAACCAAACTTTCTTTGCTTGTGTGATCAGGAGAAAACCTAGCTTTCAAAATATGCTTTTATTTCTACAATGTCTCGTGTTCCTTCAGAATGAATTCTATTTCCCCCTCTAAAATAGGAGTGATTATGCTTACCCTTTACCCTCATTGAAACTACTACTATTCAAAACACTTTGGATCATATATCCCCCTCCAAGGGTTCACATTCAGAAATGTATTCCAGCCATTTATACTGTACAGGAAAATAATTTCAATTCATGGGAGATAGGTTTCTACTTTTATTTGTTTTTATGAAGACATTCCCTGCTGATGTAAGCATATACTATTCTATTTCCTCTTCTCCATTTGTTCTTTAAAAACTAAGCCAAATTATTCACAACAAACATATTTGTTCTTCCTGTATCTGCTCATTCAATATAGATTAGCAGATGGTTCTAATTTTCATTAAAAAGAACATGCTAATAAGATAATATAATCTCCTTTCTCTTCCTGTTTTTGACAAAGTCAGTTGTGTGATTAAATAAACATGGCTGTCCTCATCCTTTCTTATTCTCCCTTCATGAAGGAATTCTGTTTTTTATTCTTTTTTTCCTAAAAAGTTTAGAAAATGAGAATGAAAGATGTAACTTCCAACTTGAGTTGCCCCCTCTGGGCTCTGAGTTTATATATGGTTTTACAAATTCAGTGTCCTCTATTTCTGGGGTCCCCAACCCCCGGTCTGTGGACCAGTACCAGGGCCCGGCATGCCAGCAACCGGTCCGCATAAACAAACAAAGCCCCATCCGTGGGATGCAGGCAGCACACAAAACCATACACTCTCCAGTCTGTGGAAAAACCTTTCTCCGTGGAACTGGTCCCTGGTGCCCCAAAAGGTTGGGGACCTCTGCTCTATTCTCAATCAAAATAAATATGTCCTGCATTATTCTACTTTGTAGGCCACTTTCAAGGGCTGGATGGACATCATGTATGCAGCTGTTGATTCCCGTGAGGTAAATTGAAAAGACAAATTTGCTTTCCCTCTTCTGAAGCTTTAATGAAGGATTTAACATGGGATTCATTGCTTCCTTTGCTTTTCCAGCAGGAGGAACAGCCTCAGTATGAAGTGAATCTCTACATGTATATATATTTTGTCATCTTTATTATCTTTGGGGCATTCTTTACTCTCAATCTCTTTATTGGTGTAATCATTGACAATTTCAACCAGCAAAAGAAAAAGATAAGTGTCTTTAATTTTTTTAAAGCATATGCTCTTTCAAATAAGTAGTTCTGCAGATGTTTTTACCAGCAGTACAGAAAATTAAATTACCCACATTGCAAGCTCCCTGCAACTATTGAATGGAGCCAGACTATTTTCCTTTTGGCTATTCTTATGCGAAAAAGAGTACAGTGCAGGGGTTCAGGGTCTTTATCAATGCAGTGGCGTAGCGTGGGTTGTCAGCACCCGGGGCAAGGCAAGTAATTTGCGCCCCCCCTTCCACAGTGGGCGGCAACCCGGCGGCTCGGATCGGATTCGCACAGCCAGCACTGCAGAGAGAGTGAGTGAGCCAGGCAGGGCAGAGAGCTGCAAGTGCGAGCGCGCCCCCCAGATGTTGCGCCCGGTGCGGCCGGCCCCCCCTGAACCCCCCACGCTACGCCTCTGTATCAATGGCAGAGTTTTAGAACTTTATGACAAATGTTGGTCTGGTTTTCCATAAAGTTTGCTATCTACTTTCCAAGCATTTGAATTACATATACTGGAGCTGATCAAGGCAGAAGTATGGGATAATCTTATAAACATTACTTAGAACTGATTCCCAGATTGCTATGAATAATCTGTGAGCCTTTAACTGCAGATTGAATAGCTGAATTATAGTTAAGTTTTGCTGCATGTCCTACAGCCTTGGGATCAATGAGCATGTAAAGAATGGAAAGTTAATTTGAGTGAGAGCTCATTCCTTCCTGAGAAGCACATTTAACTTACAAGAAAGAAAAATAAAATCTTTTTATTAAAGCATTCCAACAAATTTGGGGGGAGACAGACAAATACATATTATCAATAGTGACATGCTTTGGGACTTTGATGCACGGTCTCTGCTAATAATAACCTTATTTTTATTATTATTATTATTATTATTATTATTATTATTATTATTATTATTATTATTGTTATTATTGTTGTTGTTATTCATTGCACAGTCAGCCAGATGTTCAGACTGGATTTGGCATTTTTGTCTACCTATTGAGTCCTTACCAAGGACCTGGGATAGGCAGATCTGGATGTTTGATGATGTTACAGATATCGTCGCAGGATGAAAGCTGTTCCCAGTAAAGCTGCCTTTTGCAATTGACTGATGGTGAATTTGTCAATGCCATTGTTGCTACTTTCTCATGCCGCTGCTTGTAGTCAGTCTGTGAGATCTTCTTGCAGCAGCTTACCAAATGTTCCACTGTTTCTTCAGCTTCTTTGCATAGGCAGCATTTACTGTCTGTTGCTGTCTTCTCAATTCTGGCTTTGTGGGCATTTGTCCTTAAGACTTGCACTTGTGCAGCCAGAATTAGTCCCTCGGTCTCTTTCTTCAACTTTCCTGCTCTTAGCCATTACCAGGTCTTGTTATTATCTGCTTTTCCAGCTAAGTTTTTAATGTACTGGCCATGTAATGCTTTGTCTTCCCATGCTTCCATTCTGTTCTTCATTTGGTCTTTCTTGTAGGCCAGTTTGTTCTCTCCAGTAGTCAATAAGCCTTCCTGGTATACTAACTTCAGTGCATCATCATCATCATTATCAATAATCATCATCATGATCATCATCAATTCAATTTACAGTCTTAACAGTTCATGTCCTAACCAAGGACCTAAGAGCTGTTAAGGCAATGTCTGAGTATATAAGCAGTTCTGAGTAAGGTGGGGTTTTTTGCAAAGTCAGAATATTCAGGTCTAGTAAGTTCAAAAATTCCATGTATCTAGGCAACCCTTTGAGTATTGCTCCAAGGGTTCCTATTACTATTGGTACAACATTGATTTTTTCCTCCACAATAGCTCAACTTCTATTTGCAGATCATGGCATTTCATTATTTTTTCTAATTATTTCTCTTCAATTCATGCATTGCCTGGTATTTCAATATCAATGAACCAGACTTTTTTCTTTTCCACAATATGATATCAGGTGTGTTGTGGCCAGATGTCTGTCTGTTTGGATTCAAAAGTCCCATAAGACTTTCATTTTCAATAACTTTGTCAATTTAGTATTCCCAGTAATTTTTGCTGCATTCGAACCCAAACTTCTGACAAAGCTTCAGTGTATGATTTTGGCAACTGATCATGATGTTGTAAATAATCAGTCTGTGAGATTTTGCTGCAGCCACTGAGAAAGGGATCCACTGTTTCATCTTTCTTGTTGCATAAGCAACATTTGCTGTTGTTGCTGACATGTTGAATTTTTGTTTTCATGGAATTAATCTCTAAGGCTTGTTCTTGAGCAACCAAAATGAAGCCTTCAGTTTCTTTCTTTAGCACTTATGATCTCAACCAGCTCCATGTTAGCTTTGTATTTACCTTTCTTTCAATGTCCTTCAGGTATTGACTGTGCAAAGGCTTCTTTTTTCAGTTAGAAACTCAATACTCAATTGTTTCCTTTTGATATTCTGCTTTCAATCTTGTTGTTTTCAAGAGGTTTCCCTTGTTCACCTCCTTTAGCAGAAGCTCTTTTTTAATGTAGTTATTTAAGCCGTGTTTGTTACAGATAAAACAAAAACTCTTCCACAGTTTGTTTTATCTGTAACAGTCCTCTGCCACCCTGAGATCTAGCCAAATACAATTGGTCAATATCACTTTTTGGGTGCAAAGCATGGTTCATTGTCATTAGTTTTCTTGTCTTTTAATCAGAATAGAGCTGGAAGGACCTTGAAGTTCTTTTAGTCCAACCCTCTGTTCAAGCAGGAGAACCTATACCCTTTCAGACAAGTGACTGTCCAGTCTCTTCTTAAAAACCTCCCGTGATAGAGCACCCACAACCTCTGGTGACAAGCTGTTCCACTGGTTAATTGTCCTCACTGTTAAGAAGTTTCTCCTTAATTCCAGGTTGCTTCTCTCCTAGATTAGTTTCCATCCATTGTTTCTTGTCCTACCCTCTGGTGCTTTGGAAAATAGATTGACCCCCCCTCTTCTATGTGGCAGCCCTTCAAATACTGGAATATTGCTATTGTGTCTCCCCCAGTCTTTCTTTTCTCCAGACAGTGTTTAAGAAGAGACTGGACAGCCATCTGTCCAAAATGGTGTAGGGTTTCCTGCCTGAGCAGGGGGTTGGACTCAATGACCTCCAAGGTCCCTTCCAACTTTATTATTATTATTACATTAGTCTCCAGGCCTTTAATCATCTTAGTTGCTCTTCTTTGCACTTTTTCCAAAATCTCAATGTAGTTGGAAGTCTGGATATGAGTCCGAATGTAGCTAACTGAATTCATAGCTGTCACTAAGCTATGATGTGGTGGCATTGGGCTGGATTTAGTGTGACCCCAACCAATGGAGGCCAACAACAAAGCCATGACTTAAGAGCAGGGATCTCCAAACTTGGCCACTTTAAGACCCATGGACTTCAACTCCCAGAACTCCCCAGCCAGCTGGATGGGGAATTCTGGGAGTTGAAGTCCACAAGTCTCAAAAGTGGCCAAGTTTGGAGACTCTTGACTTTGAACACAATGCATGCCTAACATCCAGATTTTGATTCAAGTTATCAAGTTCTAGTTGAGTCCAATCACTTATGCCAGTCAATATTGTATTACAGGCACTGCCCAAGTGTTCATTGCCTTTATGATATTTCTTCCACTCAGCTTTGATCTCAAGATTTTCCACATTCACTTTATGTATTTTGTTGAAGTAGCTCCCTTGGCTTGGTTATGCAACAGGTCCAAAACTCCTAAATATTTGCATCCTTCTTCTGGTGTTACTGCTTTTATCAGCTCTTCATTATCAAGTTTGAATCCATCATTTTCAACAATTTTTCAGCAATTGTTGCACATTTGTCAATGCCAAATTGCATTTCAATGTCTCTGCTAAACTCCTCAGTACTTTTCAGCAGTGAGCCCAATTCAGCGTTTTGTTTTTTCCAATAATTTTAAATCATCCATGTAGAGCAAGTGGAAAATTTTCAAGCCTTTTTTAGCCAGTTTGTTTTGTTCAAAATGCTTGCTAGTGGCACCATCAAAAGTACAAACAACAGAGGTGACAAGGATTCCTCATTTGATTTCAACTTCACCAGGTTCATTACCACAGGCCACAACTTAGTTTGCCATAGCTTCATGGAAGTCTTCAGGAATTTGTGGATGTTGCTCCTAATTCCAAAAATGTCTAAGCATTTCTCAATCCAGCTCTGTATAACAGAATCAAATGCTTTCTTATAATCATTCCAGTGCCTTGAAATAACAGGAGTCAGTAGAAACATCAGAGAGTTTGTGCAAAGATCAGTGGCACAATGGAAGACATAGATGCAGGCTAATGGTGAGAGTTTGGGAGAGATTAATATCAAGAGAGAAATATTTCAAGAGAATTCTCTATCACTACTACTATTTGTCATTGCACTGTTTCATCTGTCATCAATGTTGAATAACTCAGGCCATGGCTATCAAATATCAAAAACATCTGCCAGACTATCCCACCTCCTTTACATGGACGATCTGAAGTTGTATAGAAAAAACACTATCTGAAATAGAATCGCTGCTCAACACTGTCTATATATATAGCCAAGATATTGAAATGGAGTTTGGATTGGACAAATGTGCCACACCTACTGTCAATCCAGGAAAAATAGTGAAAACTGAAGGAATCAAGATGCTCCATGAAAATAACATTAAGAGTCTGGATGAAGATGATTACTACAAATACCTGCGTATCCTTCAAGTTAATAACATCAAACACACTGAAGTCAAGAAAAAGATTAGAGGTGAATACATCAAGAGAGTGAAGAAGATCTTAAATTCAATGGAGGAATTACCATCAAGGCAATCAACACCTGGGCAATTCCAGTCATTAGATATACAGCAGGAATAGTGGATTGGACTCAAGCAGAACTAAAAGCAATGGATAGGAAGACCAGAAAAATAATGACAATGAATCATGCCCTTCATCCTCACAACAGCCTTGAGAGACTCTACCTACCAAGGCCAATAGGTGGACATGGAATGCTGCAAGTACATCAGATGGTTGAAGAAAAAAAAGGGCTTTGGAAGAATATCTGAAGGACAATGAAGAAGATGCACAGAAGTTAGTTTGTCAGGAAGGCTTATTGACTACTGGAGAGACCAAACTGGCCTACAAGGCAAAATGAAGAACAGAATGGAGGCATGGGAAAACAAAGCACTATATGGCCAATACATTAAAAAAAAATCAGGGAAAGCAGATAATAACAAGACCTGGAAATGGCTAAGAGCAGGAAAGGTGAAGAAAAAGACCAAGGGACTAATTCTGGCTGCACAAATCCAAGCCTTAAGGACAAAAGCCAGAATTGAGAAGACAGCAATAGACAGTAGGTGCTGTCTATGCAAAGAAGTGAAGAAACACTGAACCTTCTGCTAAGCTGCTGCAAAAATATCGCACAGACTGACTACAAGCAGCAGCATGACAAAGTAGCCGTAATAGTGCATTGGAAGATCTGCAAGAAATATCGTTTGCCTGCAAGCAAGAACTGGTAGAACCATAAAATAGAGAAAGTCATAGAAAATAAAAAAGTTAAATTGCTCTGGGACTTTAGAATTCAAACAGACAAGAACCTGCCACATAATACTCTGGACTTAACAATTTCGATAAGAAAGATGAAAAAAGTCTGGATAGTGGACGTGGCAATGCCTGGAGATAGCAGAATAGAACAGAAAGAACTGGAGAAGATAACAAAATAAAAAGACCTACAAATAGAAATAGAACAACTGTGGCAAAGGCAAACAAGGGTAGTACCAATAGTAATAGATGCCTTGGGTACAATCCCAAAACAACTGGAGTACCACTTGAACACCATTGGCATTGACAAATTCACCATCAGTCAATTGCAAAATATGGCCTTATAGGGAACAGCTTCCATCATGCGACAATATCTTTAACACCATCAAACATCTAGATCTGCCTATCCCAGGTCCTTGATAAGGACTCGATAGATAGACAAAAATGCCAAATCCAGTCTGAACTGGACTGACTGTGCAATGAATAATAACAACAAAAACAATAATACATGATTTCACACCATATCTAATGACATTGATTCTTTTTTTACTTTGGAGGGAAAGATATCTTTATGACAGAGGAACAAAAAAAATACTACAATGCTATGAAGAAACTAGGTTCAAAAAAACCAGTGAAGCCCATCCCAAGGCCCCAGGTATGCCATTCTCAAGATCCAAGTCTATGGTCAGTGTCCATGGGAAAAAATTTCTCAGACCTCGCCCCCACTTGACTTTAGATATAAAAGCTAATTTAACTATTCAGAATATTAGTTTTGTCTCACTAAATGATAGTACTATATTATTTCCACAATTTAGTGACTTTTCTTGGCTATAAAGAAACAAACAGAATAAAAGTTGCATGCAGAATTAAGTTAGTTTGCAAAGGTCAGTCATTTTTTTCCAGATACATACATGTAAACCAAATATTCTTCCTTTGAGCCAAAATTTCTACAGGAAATAAAAGAGCATAGTCAATCTTTGATTCAATGGACTTTGGCAGGGCAGATTTCAGACACAACTGGCAAAAACTTTTGTACAATGTGTTTCTGCACATGCATAAAATCCCATTTGGACTTAATGGAGATTTTGCTTTAACAGGCACTTTTTCCTTCTCCCTTTAGTCTGGTAAATTGAGAATTTACTGTACAAGACTCTCGGGCTCATAAAAATAAAGAATTGCTATGTTATGACAATTGCTATGAAGTCTATTTTACAGAAGGTAAACATGAAGAAAAAAATTGAGGTTCCTAACAACTTTTCATATACCCTTAATCTTTTTCTCCCAACATTTTCTGTCTTTCTTTCCTTTGCATCCAAGTTTCTTTTTCCTGGATTCTAAGTCCTACATTTCCTACTGTTTTCTAATACCAACATCTTTACAGCAGTTGTGAAATTGAGTATTGTATACTAATGGTCCCTACAGAGGCAAACTGATATTATAAGTGATTCCTGGTAATTCCTTAGATCATTATCTCTCTCCAAGGATCAGGTGTTAAGAGGATAGTGATGTCACCACAAATGGTGAGATTAAAATATTTCAATTTACTTTGTAGAAGTTAGTAAATATTAAGGGTGACATTGGATGAATTAGACTTTACGGGAAGTATCACACCCCAACATTAAGCATTTCCTCACTAAAGTTCAACAGCACTATCTCAGTAAATTCTAAAGTCCACTAAATGGATTGTGAATCACCAATCCCTCTCTTAGGAAATCTCACAAGTCACAGAGTCAGGTATCTTAGCAGAATATGAGATTCTAGGGCAATACAGTGATCTTGTTTTTTCTTAAAAACATAAGAAATTTTTAACTTTTTTTAAAAAAATAAAAATAATAATTCAAAGTCAAGAGACTTGTTTATTCTTTTAAAAAGTGAGGTTTGCTACTTTTTGTGTCTTCAACCACTTCAAGGCAATAAAAATTGGAAAATTTTATTTTTGGGTGGCACACTGGATGATTTAGATTTAGTCCTTCACCACTTCAACTTTTTTCTTTGAGTTTTTCTCCATTTTTCTTCCCTTTCTTTCGTTTTCATGTTTGTCATTGTCCATGTGTCTTGCACCCTTCCTGTCTTTCTGTCATACACGCATGCATACCTTCCAAATTATCGAAGAACAAGTATCAAGGGATGATCTTTGACTTTGTGACTCAGCAAGCTTTTGATATAGTCATCATGATCCTCATTTGTCTTAACATGGTAACAATGATGGTGGAAACAGATGACCAAAGCGAAACCAAGATAAATATCCTTGCTCAGATCAACTTGGTCTTCATTATCATCTTCACATCTGAATGCTTTCTCAAGATGATTGCCCTGAGGCACTACTTTTTCACTAACGGCTGGAACATCTTTGACTTTGTTGTGGTCATTCTCTCCATTGTAGGTAAGAAAAAAATATAAGCATAATTGATCTGTTTCTAAAATACTTCAATCAATGGTGTGTGCAATGGAAATAGTAGGGCAGTAACAAAGGTGGTATAGAATAATTACAATTAGCTAAAAGCTATTATGTAACCAACATACTTAAACCCAACTCCAGGAGCAGATCTGTGCATATAAATAATCATGTAATCAAAGCCTTTTTCAAAGCAATATTAAAAATGAAATCATGCATGAATAAACAGTTTAAAATATTTTTAAAAGTGCCTAAAATGAAGAGAAAATCAAGATGGAAAATAATGGATAAACTGGACTAATAGGTAATGGCAGTGGTGGGATTCAAATAATTTAATAGCAGTTTCTGTGCCCTAATAACCGTTTTAAGTATTAAAAAAACAATATACCGAAAGGTAGTTTATTATTTCATCCATTTAATACTTAAATAAGAACAATAAAAGAGGTACACAAAAATAGATTATATTATAAGAAAGTTTTAAAATATGAATGAAAAAATATTAAATAATACCTGACAAAAATAATAAAACTGTTATTTAAGATATTTCCATATTGCTTCTTGATTGAAGTCCTCACTTACAATTTTCTTCGCTTTATCTGAGCATCATCGGCTGTGTGATTTATCCTTAACCATCTTTTTTTTCACTGTAGGAGTAGGATCCCATTCCTTTAGAGGTAGGCCGATTAGACTAATAGTCGTGTTTGATATATTAGAAACAGTTAGGCGACTTCTCTTCTCTGAACGTATTATGCTCATCTTTAAAAAAACCCTTTCCACTTCTGCTGAACTTACACAGCAATTGTTCTGACAATATATTTAGCTCTTTGAACACTTTCAGGAACTGCATAGTTCTGGGCAGTTGTAAAAAAAAAAAGGTGCTGGAACTCACACACGTCATACAACCCACCTTGCCTACCCTACAAGGTTTACCTTTGTAGTTGAACCCCCCCCCCTTTCAATTTTTAGTGTATCTAAAAGATACACTAAGTTAATACTACTATAAATATATATTTTCAAGACGGGCAGCCTTACCTAAGTACTTTTCATTTGAATAAAAATAGTGTTGTAGCACTGAATAAGTGCGCCACACAGCTAGGGTTGACCTTAAACTACAGGCAGCCCATCTTGGTCCCAAAACTCTACCAATCTTTATAATTTCAATTCCAAGTTGTTCGGATATTTTGTTAAATTCAATTTGGTTCTTATTGGATTGATAAAAAATAGTATATATCTTATCAATAAGTATCTGAAAATGATTTACTTACTTCATTTCCTTTATCAAATCATCTAAAACAAGATGGAGGCGATGGTTTAAACAGTGCCATATTATTATGTTTGGAAACACTTTTGCTATCCTAGTACTCACTCCAGATTTTCTCCAAAGCATAATGCTGGCACCATTGGAGCAAAATCCTATTAATTTTTTTTCTAGGTAGTTCTTAGTAAGCCTAACACTATTTAAACTTTCCATAACTGAAGAACATATTGTCTCTGCATCTGTTTTTCCAATTCAACTAGCTCATTGTTGATGGTGATGTAACTGAATCTTCAACTTTTTAAAAAAGTATAACTGGTTTGCAAGATATCATTGAGATTTTGTCAATAATCAAACATATTTTCAGATTATTTTCAATAATTTTAGTAAATATTTCTTTTTAAATTTCCTTTGCAATAAAATTAGCTACTTTCACAGCAGTTTTACATGAATGTAATCCTATTTCCATATCTAATCTATTTTTAATTTGCACTTCTATCTCATCTTCTATGTCTGAAAACGGTTTACATCTTTTTGCCAGGCTGTAAACTGTATTAAATACTCTACAAGTAGTACATAGATATTTTTCATTCATCGTATCTATTGCTTTTTTTATTGAATCCTGCTCACATTGTTTTAAATTCTCTTTTCAAATGTTATGAGCTTTTGATGAAAAATGTTTTCCTTTTTTTCCTTAGAAAAGCTTGTTGTACCTCTTTATTTTTCTCTGATGCCTCAATCTGAAAACATTTCCATTCTTTTAACACATGAACACTTTTCTCTTTTATTTTGCACAATACTCATAACCTAATTTTTTATTAAAAATTACCAGCCCAGTCATATTTTTCCTTAAAATTGTTATATTGTTGCACTGTCCAACATTCCAGAAGACTATTTTTAATTTTGGAGTTTTTATCATTTTTTTATTTCAATAATTGACACGCTGCTTTCTTCAAGTTGGAGTGGTTGTACTTATGACTATTTTGTACTATCTAAGGCCAATTCTGATACAACTGATTCCGATTTTGGTTTCTTATTGAAGAAATCTGTCAAACTCTGTTGCCTTTTCATCCTTTTAAGAGGTACTGCAAAAAAAATTAAAAATGTTTTATTTTAATTAATAATAATAATACTTATTATTACTATTATTATTATTATTATTATTATTTACAGACATTAATATCCTTTATCAAAGATTACAAGATATTGTACAAAAACTTATTGAAAAGTGTATGCATCAATAACCAAGCAAGGGCATGTAATAAAGAATGCAAAGTTTTATAACATATTACTACAATCACCAGAGAAAATTATAGAATAAAGAGTAGGCAATAATTAGAATTGAAAGAAAAAGGAAAAAATGTAAAAGATAAGCCATAGCTGGGACAAGACAAAAATATCACAAAAATAAGCTGATATTACTCAAGTAGAAAAAATATCATTATTCAAACAATTTGTATAAACTACATTAGTATCAGAAATATTTAGAAATAAGGTATTTCAAGAATAAAGGATAAATATATAAGGGAACAAAAGAATATATAAGAGAATGGGGAAAAAAGAAAAAATATAAAGTACCAACAATGGAAGTTACATGGCAACACATCACAAGTATGAAAAAATGGTCATACGTTACTTTTTTTCAATGCCGGTCACTAAATGAACTGTTTTAAGTTGAGAACTGCCTGTTTAGAAGTTATCTCTGACTAAATCGGTGTTTAGTGTATGAAATTATATATCTCTGGGCTAAAACCAATGTTTCTGGAATAACAGTTCATGAAATCTCTGCTACTTATAACAGTTTACTCCATAAAATGACAAAATTGCTTAACTAAATAAGCATTTGCTATATGAAATCACAGGTTGCTGCCAGTGAACCACTATTTGCTGTCTGAAATAGCACCTGTCACTTAAACAGTGCTTATTATATTAAAACACTAAACTAAGGTTTGATATATATGAAATTGAAATTCTGCTATTTAAATTTAAATCATAGGTCATGGTATAAAATAGGAAAGCCCAGTCTGCTACAAAGAACTACATTAGAGTTTAATGCATGAAATCACAGAACCCTTTAAGAGCTTTCCTGCTCATCATTAGTTGCGCTCTGAATAGCTAGACAGGAAAAAGTTCCAGAGCCACAACCCCAGCTAATACGTGGTGGCCTCACCCCCTTTCCCATATCCACCAATCGGGAAACTAGAAACATGAAGCATCTATTCCTGAAATTACTCTGAGTAGCACCACCTAGTTTTGGACTTTTGGGGAGGAGTTTTTTTTTCCTGCCAGGAAGGAAGTTGAGCAAAAACCAGACGTGTTCCGGAAAACACAGATTTGTCATAACTGGCTTGCCGAACTCAACAAACAATTAGATATCGGTTCTGCCGAACCAGTGCGAATCGGCTGAATCCCACCACTTCTTAATGGCATGATATGTCCATCTACAAAGCAAACTGCAATTGAAGCTGAGCTGACAAATTGTTCCAAATAACAATTGTGAAATTTGTGATAATTATTGCTAAAGTGGTATACCAACTTTCTCCTTAACAAATCTTGAACCCTGAAGTATCTATGGTTGGAGGTTGTGATAAAATATCCCTGTTCTACAAAACAAGCAAAATCATCTTTGAAAATTATTCCAGAGTTTATCTGTTGCCTTCATTACTTAACAGGGGAATTTCCCATGCCTTTGCAACATCATCCATCCTCTGGAAGAAAATCTGTTTGATTTCTTTCTGATGGCACTTCTAGGAATATTGCCAAATCTCCCCAATTATTAAAAGAATTGAATTTTCTTTGCTGTTCATAGGCAATCCATATTTCTGATTATGAAACTAGAAAACTTCATGACTATAAGTGAGATCTGCAATTCAAGCTATATTCTGCCTCTATCCTTTAAAAAGGGATGGTTTTGACCATTCTTTCTACCTCTTGCTATTTACCACATCTGTGCATGACACTATTCCTTACCTGTTCCTAAAGAAATGACAAACTTTACCAGGTAATAATTTCTTCTTGTCATATCTTCATAATGTTGCCTTCATCGCATCCCCAATGCAGAATTGACCACTTAAAATTGTCTTTAGTAGTTCTAGTTTTAAACCAGAATTACCGAGTGGGAAGGGATTTTGGAGGTCTTCTTGTCCAACCACCTGCTTAAGCAGGATACCCTATATTATACTGGACAAATGGCCATCCAAACTCTTCTTAGAACCTCCAGTGATACAGCACTCACCTCTTCTGGAGGCAAGCCATTCCACTAATTCATTGTTCTCACTGACAGGAAATTTATCATCTTTATTGATCTCTGCACTCTTTCTAGAGTCTCAATTTCTTTTTTGTATTGTGGAAACCAAAACTGGATACAGTATTCCAAGTGTGATCTTACCATTTCAGTACAAGAGGTACTAATACTTCATGTAATCTTTATACTGCCCCTCTGTTAATGCAACCTAAGATTGCATTGGCCTTTTTTGACTACTGTCTCACAAGCAGTCATGCTCATATTTAATTGGTTATCTGCCAGGTCTCCTAGTATCAGGTCCTACCTATTCTATATCTGTGCATTTGGATTTTCTTGCCTAAATATAAAAACTTATTTTTCTCATCACTGAATTGTATTTTGTTGGATAGGGCCCAGTGTTCAAATCTCTCAAGATTCTCCCAAGCTTGATGTCATCTGCAAATTTGATGAGTTCCTGTTCTATCCCTTCATTTAATTATTTACAAAATGTTGAAGACTATTGGACTTAGACAGAGCCTTGAAGTACCCCACTACATACTTCCTTTTATATAGAAATAGTTCTATTAAAAACTACACAATGAGTGTGGTTGGCCAGCCAGTTACATATCCATCTGGTGGTGATGTTGTCTATTCTAGGGGTCCCCAACTCCTGGTCCATGGACCAGTACTGGGCTGCACCATGCCAGCAACTGGGCCGCACAAACAAGGAAAGCCCCATCCGCTGGATGCAGGCAGCACACAAAACCATGCCTCCTCTGGTCCGCAGAAAAACCTCTCTCCATGTAACCAGTCCCTGGTTGGTCTGGTCTATTCCATATTTTTCTATCTTATGAAGAGGTAGGCTATGGTCTGTTCTATCAAATACCTTACTGAAGTCCACATATACTATGCCCACCTCATTTCACAGGTCCACTAATTTAGTCACTTTGTCAAAGAATGCAATAATGTCTGAGATGACCTGTTTGGGACAAACCCATGATGGCTTCTAGTAATAGCTTTGCTTGTTTCTAGATGTTCACAGATCCACTGCTTATTTTTTCCAGGATCTTCTCTGGTATTGTCGGACTGATAGATCTGTAATTTTCTGGGTTCATTTTATTTCTTTTTAGAAGATTGGAACTACATTAGCTCTTTTTCAGTACTTCCCCAATGCTCCAAGATTTTTGAAAGATACAGTTCAGTGGTTCAGAGATCACATTTGCCAGCTCCTTCAGAACCCTGGGATATAATCCAACTGGTCCTAGTGACTTGAACTCATACTCAAGTGGATAGATGTTGTATTATCATTTTATTTCCTATTGTGACTTGTATTCCTAATCTGTCTTTTACAGTACTGCTTTTATTTGGTTGGTCTGTTTCTTCCTTTTGTAAAGACAGAAGCAAAGAATGAATTAAACAGTTCCACTTTCTCCCTGATGCCTGTAGCTTCCTTGCCATCTTCTCCCAATAGTGGACCAATAATTTCCTTGACTTTTTCTTGTTTTTTATATGTTGAAATAAATTTTATTATTATTATTTTTAACATTTATTTCAAGTCTTAGTTCATTCTGGACCTTAGTTTTCCTGACTTCATATTTGCAGATATAGATAGATGTTAGGTGATAGGTGATAGGTGATAGATGGATGGATGGACGGATGGACGGATGGACGGATGGACGGATGGATAGACGGACACAGACAGATAGATAAATAAGTTCTGCCACCTTTATAGGATTTCCATTGCATCTGCTGACAAGGACTTGCATACATTTTACTGCTTATTTCATGGAGGAAGAGCTGTGCTATTCTGTCTATTCCATCTGGGTTTGGGAGCAATGGTACCAAAAAAAATTGGAACTGGACTCCTTGAACTTTTGCTATCAGCATTGCCATTTTCTTGCAGCTGACCTCATTAGCACTGCCTCCTGCTTCATTCCATGACCATCCTCAAGAGGCTTAATCTTTAGCCAGGCTATTTTTTAAACACAGATCTATGGGTATTCCAGAAGATCAGATCTGATTTCAGAAATAGCTTAACTGACAGGTCATAGGCATGGAGAAGGCAGAAAGGGATGATCACAGCTGCTAGGCTGATGTGGATGGGTGGGTGCAGCTTGGTGGGTGCAGAAGAGTGCTGCTTACTTGGTGCAGACAGAGGGGCAGGGTCAGATGGGCATGACCAAGTGGATGCGGCTAGTTGGGCACAGATGAGTGGGCATGGCTGGGTCAGCATAGAACCAGATGACTGGACAACTTGGTGCCCCACCAGCTCTTTGCCTTCCCCAACTGCTGGCAGCCAAGCATGCTGGGAAAATCTGTGCTGGGAAGCTGCCAATTGTATCCCAGCTTGGGGAGAAGGACCTCTCTTTTGGTGTGCTGGGTGTTTCCCACACATGCACATGCACACCATTCTGAGTTTGAGGACTTTTATCTGGATCTGTGCTGGGAAGCTGCCAATCGTGCCCGGGCTTGGAGAGAAAGACCTCTCCTTTGGCATGTTGGGTGCTCAGGTGCACACGCATGCGCGTGCACACACACACACTCACACACACACACACACACACACACACACACACTTGGGGACTTGCCTCATTCTGGCATCATGTTGGCAGTAAGAGACCGTCTTCTGCTGCAGATTGCCTCCCATCGACCGGTACGCTCCCACAGAGCGGGCCTCCTCAGGGTGCCGTCGGCCAAACAGTGTCGGCTGGCGACCCCCAGGGGGAGGGCCTTCTCTGTGGGAGCCCCCACCCTGTGGAACGAACTCCCCCCAGAGATCCGGATTATTCCGGATCTCCCCTCCTTCCGCCGTGCNGGATTGGCCTAGGGGGGGATTTTATAGGGATTTTAAAGGGATTTTATAATTTTTCTAATACAGGTTATTTAATATATATTTTAATTTGGCTTTTAGATATTTATTGTATAGCTCTGTTTTTACTTACCTGTAAGCCGCCCTGAGTCCCTCGGGAGAAGGGCGGGGTATAAATTAAAGTAATAAATAAATAAATAAATAAGATGCAGATCATGGACCAGCAGGGCTAGCTGAGAGCCATCACAAGACACTTAAAGTTTGATCTGGAGGAAGCTTGCAAAAGGAGGTACTGCAAACACAATACTAAAGGGAAAATGAAGTCCCTAAATGTCTGCATTTGCAGAATTGAAAATTTGTGCTTCAAAGGGAGCCTCCAGCTTGCTAATCAAGGGGAAGAAAAACAGCTTATAAAAATCCCCAAATTTCAAATGGTGTGTGTGTGTGTATGTGTGTGTGTGTTTGTGTGCGCAGGCACACACAAGCACCCAGCATGCCAAAGAAGAAGTCCTTCTCTCCAAACCCAGACACCATTGGCAGTTTCTTGGCACAGATGTGATAAAAAGTCCCCAAATGCAGAAGTGTGTGTGTGTGTGTGTGTGTGTGTGCACGCTTGGCTGCCAACAGTTGGGGAAGGAAGGAATTGGTGGGGTGCTGAGTTGTCCCCAAATCCAGTTACCTGGTGCGACTTGTTCTAAAATAACTATAAACGAAACATCAACTGCAAATACTTCTAATCTACCTATGTTTTTGCTTTGATAATTTGATTCCTGAAAATTTATTTTTTTATCATGTTATTTTTCAGTTTTTATGATAACATGGGTAGTCCTCACTTAGCAATAATAATTGGAACCAGAATTTCTCTTATCAAGCAATGTGGACATAATTGCATCCCTTAGCAATGGCAGTTCCAGTTAACATCGTTAAGAAAATCCAGTGGTGGGATTCAAATATGTGAACAACCATTTCTCTGTGTGGATGCCGCTTCCGGAAGTCCATTCTGGGCCTGGGCAACAAAATATTAGCTACCGGTTCTGCCAAAGTGGTGCGAACTGGCTGAATCCCACCACTGAGCAAATCCCATAAGGCCATTAAGTGTGACATCGCGTGGTCACCATTTGGGACTCCCTGATGGTTTCCCCAGCACTTTGCTTGTAGGAAGCCAGCAATGAAGAATTACATGATCATGTGACTGTAGGTGCTTCAATATCATGATTACAAGCCAGTTACTAAGCACCCAGATCATGAGCATGTGACTGCAGGACGCAACCATTGCCACATTTAGAAGGACCAGTCGTAAATGCCATTTGTTTAACACAGTTGAACAGTCACTGAATGAATGGTTGTTAGGAAGCAAGAAACACCTGTAATATATTTATTATCTTGATTGTTTCTTCTTTATAAATATGTAAGATTCATGTAAGAAAGTTCTTGCCACAATTCATCTTTTTTCATAGTCATGAACATAGATGGCCATTCCAAATTATCAAAGGCTTTTTATATCTAAAAATATCATGGCCATTTTCTTACTTTTCTGATTTAATTATCAATAGCATTCAAAATATATCTAATATTATCTCTCAAATATCTCTTCAAAACAAATTCAGCCTAATGTGGGTATATCACTTCGGTTAAAGGCCATTTTCTCTCTTTGCAATTATTGTTATAAAAATATATAATTTATAATTGTGTAATTAAATATAACTCAAGACATAAACCTCTATATAACTCAAGACAACTGAAGTCATTTCCCTCTTTATAAATCAAAGAAATTAAAGCTTTATTTCAAGAACAAGGAATTACTTGACATTATCAAATTTCATTCATTTCCTGAGTTAATGATTTAATCAAAATTTTCTGGAAGATCTTGTAGTGCACTTTAGAATATCTGTTTGGTTCTGGAGATTTTTCAGTTTCCATTTTTGAATTATGTTTTTGTTTCCTCCTTAGTAATTGATTTATTAAAAGTTTCTTTTTCTTGTTGAATCAGTTTTGTAAGTTATATTGTGTCTAAATACTCTTCAATCTGTTTTAATATGTGTTTGCTATACAATAATTTAATTTGATTTCATGTCATTTTCTTTTACATATTATGCACCTTTTTGTATCCTTTCTGCATCTAAAGTTTTTCAAAAAATATTTAGAAGCCATTCTTATTTTTAGGTGGCCTGTTTTAGTTTCAGACTGATAGGCACTCAATAGTTGAATTTGATATTGGGGGGAATTTTGTATGTACAATGTTTATGCCATTAAAATGAATTATTAATAATGATTTTTGAAAATTGATGTGGTATTTTGTGGTTTGCTGAGAAAAATGTTTTCCTATCTTTCAGGACTTGTCCTCTCAGACATTATAGAAAAATACTTTGTATCACCCACTCTCTTCAGGGTCATCCGGTTGGCCAGAATTGGGCGTGTTCTTCGGCTGATCAGGGGAGCAAAAGGCATCCGAACACTGCTCTTTGCCTTGATGATGTCTCTGCCAGCACTATTCAACATTGGTCTCCTCCTATTTCTGGTTATGTTCATTTATTCCATTTTTGGAATGTCAAACTTTGCTTATGTAAAGAAGGAATCTGGCATTGATGACATTTTCAACTTTGAGACATTTGGCAACAGCATCATCTGTCTTTTTCAAATCACCACGTCAGCTGGTTGGGATGGCTTATTGAACCCTATCCTGAACAGTGGTCCCCCAGATTGTGATCCTCATCTAGAGAACCCTGGTAGTCATGTGAAAGGTGATTGTGGCAACCCCTCCATGGGCATCTGCTTTTTTTGCAGTTATATCATTGTCTCTTTCTTGATTGTGGTTAACATGTACATTGCCATCATTTTGGAGAATTTTAATGTAGCCACAGAGGAGAGCAGTGAGCCTCTCTGTGAAGATGACTTTGAAATGTTCTATGAAACATGGGAGAAGTTTGACCCTGACGCCACACAATTTATAACTTACAGCACACTTTCTGATTTTGTGGATACCCTGCAAGAGCCACTGCGAATTGCTAAACCCAATAAAATCAAACTGATCACTATGGACTTGCCTATGGTTCCTGGAGATAAAATACATTGCTTGGACATTCTCTTTGCCCTGACAAAAGAAGTTTTGGGAGACTCTGGAGAAATGGATGCCCTGAAGGAATCAATGGAGGAGAAATTTATGGCTGCAAATCCCTCCAAAGTATCTTATGAGCCCATTACCACAACACTAAAAAGAAAGCAGGAGGAAGTCTGTGCCATCAAAATCCAAAGAGCATTCCGTCGATATCTGTTAAAACGGTCAGTGAAACAAGCTTCATATCTGTACAAGCAGAGTCAAGATATAGAAACACTGAAAGAAGACGCCCCAGAGAAAGAAGGAATGATTGCAGAGAAAATGAATGCAATGTATGGCTCACAAGTAGAAGTAGAAAAGTCCCCAGAAACAGCTCCATCTCTCGTACTTGAGCCAATAAGTAGTCCAGAGATTAAGAAGGATTCTGGTGAAAAGAAAGAGCAGGACAATAATGGCAAGAAGGAAGATGACTCTGGAAAAACTAAAAAAAGTGAGAATGCCAAACGTGGTGTAAAAGAATCATCTGTATAATGAACACACATTTGGACAACAAATGTTGGTGTATGGTTCCAAATGACCTTTTTCACAAAATCCTTTTGGCATCTTCTATTTTAATACAAAAACAAGATTATTTTGCCAGATTTCAGGTACTTCACACCACAGTTCAGCATTGAAAGCAGAACTCCATCTGGTTTCTGGCTTGTTTGCTTGTTTTTAAAATTCACCACAATGTGCAAAGTGCTTTTTGTCTTCTTTTCTCATAATGCAAATGTCAATTATCTCCTTTTCTGGTGAAAAGACATCCTAGTTTCATGTTAATGCTCCAGAATCGGTTCTGATGATTCTAAATACCGAATTATATCAAATGAGTTGAGAATCAACTCTTTATTAGTAGAATGATTAAGCAGTGCTAGAAATAAAGCAGTGCTAAAAATAAAGGGGAAAAGAAGGAAGTTCATTCAAGCTTTGAATGAAAACAGATCATTTCTGGAGAATTTCACCAGAATCTCTTAAGCTCCATTTGCTAAAAAATGTGCCAAGAATAACCGTTATTTAGTTATTGCTCTGATCAATTATGCAATTTTTCAGAAGGCTGTATATTTTACTAATTTATTCTGCTAATGCTGGGGAGATGTAATTGGGCATGAATCCCTGAACAATATGTAGGTATATATGTCTGAGAATTCATTTACTTGTTAATATTCTTTCAATTCTTATTCAGCCACAAGAACTAGAAATATGCTTGCTTTTTCAGTTAAACTTGAAGTTTCCAGTTGGCTGAAATTAATGCCCATTGCCAAATTCTGCCCATATGCAGAAACTGGATATGATAGTGGAAAGTACAATATGGAAAGCCTGACCCTAGTGACTAGTGCTTCTTAAATCCAGTTTGAAATTGTGGGAAAATACTCATCTTTAGCAATTTCCTCTCTTCTTTGTATGTCTTTCTTGAAGATGCTGGGAGTGAAAGTTAGGATCTGTACTGGTCCTCAGACATTAGCAACTCTGATTTCTTTAAAAATAATAGACATAAATTTGGGCTTAGGATTCTTTCCAGCAGGAGTGGGTGCAAAGTGAACAGCATGGAGTAACAGCTGAGATAACAGCACAGTTTAGGAACACAAAACTGCAATGTCTTAAATGGGGTTCAATTTTTTTATTTAAATAATTTGAGTAGACTTAAAAAAACTTTTTGTTAGAAGTGGCTGAAAGTCCAATTAAGTCTTAATTATGTATATGCATTGTTTCTTTTAAACAAAAAAAAAATCAAATGTGATGTGCTAATCTGTTCTAAAAGTTTATTGCCAACTTAGTAATTTTTTCTAAATTAATTCTCAACTCTACAGATAATAATCTTGGAATGTAAGCTGCATTTTTTATTTGCCAATCCACTGTTTTCTTCTTTAAAGAGCTCTGCTTTAGAATGTGGCATGCATGACATTCCGATTCACAGTCTAAATTGCAGTTTGCCTCTTCCGCTTCTCTCCTCCATTAACTAGTCAGGAGGAGCAGAATTCCCATGCACCGAGAGGAAAGGGTGTCCCAGAGGAAAAGATACATTTCCCAAGGGATGATTTGTGCAAAGGAAATCTGATAGCTAAGTAGGCTATTAAAAATGTCCTAATAAATTCTGTTGAGATTAGAGTATATAGTATCTGTTAAGCATAGTAGTGCAGTTTTGTGAATGTTTTATTTATTTTTAAAGCATTTACACAAGAAGAATTTCTCAGCAATTTGTATCTTTATCAGTGTGGAATCAGCGCAAGAAAAATGAAACAGGAGAGAGATTATTTCTTAACTTTATTCTTCTGCCTGTCCCTTAATCAAACAAAATTCCTTTTTACTTGTCCCATTATTCAAAATCTGCTTTAATGGCAGCCATTGTGGCCTTCAATCAACAATTAAATTAGCCATAATGTCATGCCCTATAAATAAATAACCTGTGGTACATCCAAATGGAAAAATGTAGTGGTTGCAAAATCTCTGCTACATATATATGTACTATGAAAATAATAAAGATGTAAATAAAGAAAATAAAGCTGTATCTTTAGATGTATTTTTGCTGTATCTATAGTCTGCTGTTGTTCACCCTAATGACCATGACTGTTGTGCAAGGTTTGCTTCAAACCATATTGTGACGTATGCAGATGATACAATAGTATGGACTTTATTCAGGATGATAATGAAGGTGCTTACCAGGAGGAGGTGGAGGGTTTGGTGAGGGTTTGGTCTGGTGGATATAAAAACAGCTTGGTTTTAAATGTAGGAAAAACAAAAGAGATCACTATTGATTTCAGAAAAGGCATGCTGAGCCATACACCTCTATACAAAAGATTCAACTATGGAGATGGTTAGTTTCTGGGTGTGCAGTTGACAAGCAGGTTAGCTCAACAGTGGGACACTGGTGAAGCAGGCATAGAAGCACCTGCATTTTTTGCATTATATCTTCCCCTATCCTTACTACTTTCTATAGAGGGACGATTGAAAGCATCCTGTCATATTGCATTACTGTGTGGTTTAGAAGTATTACTGTTTCAGATAGGATGGTTGTACAGAGAGTGGTGAGGACAGCAGAAAAGATTATTGGATGTTCCCTTCCGTCTATTCAGGACATGGCATATAAGCGCTATTTGACCAAGTCCGCAGTATTGTCACATCCTCTCCATGACTGATTTTCTTTGTTACCTTCTGGGAGGAGGCTTCATGCTATCCAAAGCAGAACAACTAAATAAAAATAAAAATGTAAATAAAAAAAATGTAAATGTTCGTTTGTTCAAAATCTTAAATCTCCGAAAATTCTTCACTGATTGCTTTGAAATTTTGACACAACGTTGCATTCGACTATGTGCGTGTTTTTATATACCTACTATTATATACATGTCACACCTGTGACAGGTAAAAACATGCTTTTTTGAAAAACAGCGCCATCTGTTGGACGTAAAAGCAACACACACTACAATTTTACGATTCCAACAAGCATTGTGAAATTAAACATATTACAAACGTGCGCTTTCTCTTTTCTTTCTTTTCCATTTAGCCAGACTGAGCCACAGCAATGCGTGGCCGGGTACAGCTAGTATATGCAACAGAAATCAAGGACAATAAAAAAAGTTTCTTTCAACATATTAATAACAAGAAAAAAGTCAAGGAAACAGTAGGTCCACTAAAGAGAGAAGATGGCAAGGAAATAACAGACAGTAGGGAGAAAGCAGAGTTGCTTAACTCATTCTTTGCATCAATCTTCACACAAAAAGAAATTATATCCCAACATACAAAAAAAAACCTACTGCAAAGGACAAACTAGAAATAAAAATTAAAATAAGCAAGAAAATGGTAAGAGAACACCTATCCGAGCATGATGAATATAAATTATTGGGATTCAACAGATTACATCCCAGAGATCTGAAGGAGCTGGCAGATGTTATCTCAGAACCATTGCACCATATCTTTCAAAAATCCTGGAGCACCAGAGAAGTACCTGAGGATTGGAAAAGGGATGATGTGGTTTCCATCTTCAAGAAAGGAAAGAAACCAGATCCAGGAAACTATAGACCAATCAGTTTAACATCAATACCTGGGAAGATCCTGGGAAAGATAATAAAAAACAGATAAGATAATTAAAAAAATCTGCAAACAACAGCATGGGATTGTTAAAAACAGATCGTGCCAAACCAATCTTATTTCATTCTTTGATAAAGTGATATTAGTAGACCAGTGAATGCCATTGACATAGTATACTTAGATTTCAGTAAGGCATTTGACAAAGTAGACCACAAGCTACTTCTTGGTAAGCTAGAAAGAGGCAGAATAGACAACATCACCATCAGATAGATTTGTAGCTGGCTGACAAACTGTGCTAAACGAGTAGTCCTCAATGGTACTACATCCACATGGAGAGAAGTAAGCAGTAAGCAGTGGGGTATCACAAGGCTCCATCTTAGGCCCAGTACTCTTCAATATCTTCATAAATGACTTAGATGAGGGAATAGATTGGGAATTCATCAAATTTGCAAATGACACTAACCTGCCAGGAGTAGCCAACACCCCAGAAGACAAGCTCAGGATCCAAAAAGATCTTGACAAACTTGAACAATGGGCCCTATCCAACAAAATTAACTTTAATGTGGAGAAAAGCAAAGTTTTACATTTAGGCAGGAAAAAATCAAAGGTATAAGTACAGAGGGATCTTGGAGTCTTGGTGGATGATCACTTGAACATGAGCCAGCAGTGTGCAATGGCAGCCAAAAAAGCTAATACAATCTTGGGTTGTATATACAGAGGTATAGAATTAAGATCACGCGAAATATTAGTACCGCTTTATAAAATCTTAGTAAGACCACATCTGGAATACTGCAATCAGTGTGGGTCCACACTTTAAAAGCCTCTTGCCCTCTTCTAGGAAGTGTCACCATGTTAGTAATGCCCATTTCATATTAAGCTTTTTTCTCCCAAACCATCCATCTACGTCCAGCCTCGGACAATTTTTTGGAAGTGTAAGTACAAAGTTGTAATCATCCTTTGATCCTACTGGAGAAGCACCACTTTGACTGATATGTCATTTGCATCTGCTGGATGATGAAAGGTGTAGGTATTTCAGAATTGGCTCAGCAGCAAATAGTCTCTTAAGTTTGTCAAAAGCCATCTAGCATTCCATGGACTACTTGAGGGGGGCTCCAGGCTTAGGTTTTCTCTTCCCTTTAGTTTTTAACAAATTAGTAAGCAATGGAGCAATATGAGTGGAATTATTTATAGAAATTTGCAAAACCCAGGAAGCTCTGCAACTGCTTTTCGGTGTGCATTGCCTTCCATTCCAGTACCGCCCATATCTTTCCTGGGCCCATCTCCTCTTCTTCATGGGAGATTCAGTAGCCTAGATAGTCCAATTTGGACTGATGAAACTCACATTTGGAGAGCTCCAAATGTGTTGCCAATAACATTTCTAGAACATTCTCTACAGGTTTGTCATGCTCATCCATGGTTTCAGTATAAATTAAAATATCATCCAACTATCCCAAGCCCTTTGAATACATGATCATGCAGGATTTAATCAGTTGCATGAAAGGCCAAAGGGAGGACCCAGAACTGAAAACATCCCAATGGGCAGTTAAACACAGTTATCCATTCATCACCAGCCTTAATCCGCACCCCGTAGTATTCTTCTCTCAAGTCTAGTTTAGTAAAGATTTTGCCTTTGACTAAATGGACCAGCATGTCTTTCATTGGGATAGTGGGTACATATTCTCTACTCTAATGCCATTTAGGCTCCTGTAATCTACATAGTCTCGGAAACCCATCTTTCTTTTTCCAAAATTACATGGGTGCCCCTATGCTTGATTTCACTGACTTATGATCCTCTAGCTAAGTTCTTATCAATGAACTGAACACATCCAGCTCCCTTGGCATCATGGAATATAGTTTAGGTTTGGGAAACTTGGCCCAGGGCAGTATTTCAATGGTGCAGTCCATGGGGTGGTGTGGAGGGAGTAGGAACTTTCTCCCACTCACTGAACACTTCCTTTAGCCAGTATTCTTTCTGATCCTCCTTTTCACCTTCCCTTCTACCAGAGGGTCCTCAAACCATCACCTCATGGCAGTCATAAAATCATTGAAATTACGTAGCTCTTCCACATCAGCATCATGAAGAGACACCACCCAATTCACATTCTAGAGCCACAGTGATGCAACTTACTCTGGGTTCATTGTCTGGGAAGTTCGGCCTGTACCATGCCATAAAGTTCCACACTTGGGTAAGGAAGTTTCCCAACTGCCTTGCTTCTCCATTGAACTTCACTCTTAGCTCTGGCATCAGACAGTCATCTTGTTCCACCAGAGTCACAGGAACCAGTGGTGTTGTGGTTTCTGGCACTGGGTCTCTGTTTGAGCACGGAGCTTGGTTGCTCCAGAGGCATGCATGCCATAAGTTCCCCAAACTTTTCTTTGGAGGAGATCAAGCATCAGGTTGATAGTTGAGTCATGGGTCTCCCTCCTGTGTTGCCCCAGATTATGCCATGTCTCTGGGTGGCAGTATTTGGCTCTGGATCCTCGGATGAGAGTCACTCCTGCTGAAGTTTCCTCTAATTTTCTGATGCCCAGCAACCATTGGGATCTTACCCTTGCCATTTTGGGTTCTCTCCATCTCTCAGGGGACCAAGAGGGCAGTTTCGGCTTTCCCGTGGTTGCCTTCAGGCATGCACTGGGTTCAAGCATGGCTCGCCGGTCTCTTCTGGATTGGTTGGAACTGCAGCTCCTCTCCCAGGACAGGCTCTCGCCCTGCTCTCCTGTCTTATCGTGACTGCCTCTTCACTTGATCCCCACTGGAGATGGACATGGTTGCACAATCCCCATGGTAGGTTAATTCTCCAGGTGGATTGAAGAATGCAGTTCTGGCTTAATGCCAGGCCTGCCAAACACTTATTGTCACTACCATGGTAATGAAGCATACAAGCAAGCATATGGTGGCAGCTGACACATAATGCACTATATGGAGTAGAATGGAAGTACTAGCTATTTTTTTCTGTTTTAAACAAAGGTCAGTGGAGGATATTTTTTTTAAAAAAATTAAATGTCAGGAATCATGGTAAATGAGGAGCTTGGCACTGACTGGGCAACTTTTAAAATAGATGAAAGAGTTTCCCTCTGCATTTTGAATTTATAAATGAAACCACTTGTGAATTGGTTTTAGATTGGTTTGTGAGAAATTGGGAAAGTGAATACTGATTGTGCCTTAGTTGTGCACAGTGCTGATTGGCTGTTATTGTAATAATATTATTATATCTCCTTACCTTCCTGAGAATCATTTTTTTCCATTTTTTAAATAATTCATTATAGTTCTCTAGTACTTAATTTTTATATATATGTTGCATTTGTTGAATTAGAATGTCTACTTAGTTCTTTTTACTTGCTGAGTTGATTCTAGAAAGTAGAATTAGGTTCCAGTTCTAAACCCTTATGAGCTCTGCTTCAATCCATGAAGATCTATTATCTGAAATACCAGCTAATTGAGATTAATTAAATGAGATTGACAATTTTTCAAAAATACACTTTTCAGTTTTGGGAATCCCAATTTCTTTATCAGCAATTCAGTTTTTCATATGCCTTTGGGGATGAGAAAAATGCTGGTAGGGATACCCAGCTCATCACCCAAGTTAAATTTTCTCTCTGTTAAAGGCAGTTTATGACAAATGCACCCAAAATCAGTCTGTCACTTAGCTCTGATTTCCCCCATCAGAAAACACAATTCTTTAGGCTAGCCTTTTTTAGTTTGTTACCCCTTGGTGTTGGTCTTCCCATGCATAAGTGACAGGGGGAAAATCAGATATATAAATGAAACATTATGTGCCAAATGAATCCTGAAATGATCATTCTGAGGTGAACACACCCAGTAAGCCTTCTCAGTGGCAAGTTTTTCTTACAATTGTTTTTTAATCTGTATCCTTGAGAAGGAAATTTGTTTTAAAGTGAACAGAATCTGGAATGAATTTCATTTATTTTTATGAGAGTACCATGCTTCTTGGCCTACCTTGGTCTCTTGTTCAGTCATAATGTCTATGGAGATTCTCTATCATCCAGGTCATGGTTGTTTCAAAGGTGCTTTTTCCAAAAGGCAACTGGACTTTCTTGGGGTTTTTTTTCTTTGAAAAAGTTTTGCTTCTCATCCAAGAAGCTTCTTGAATGAGAAGTGAAATGCTTTCAAAA